CTCTTCGTGTCTTTTTTAGTCTTTACCCGAGTCTCCATCGTCCGGTTTTTTTCGAGTCCCGGCCACTTTTCCTGCGGATTACTCCGTACGCCTACATTAACGGGTCCACTCCGCTTTGCCTGCGATGGTTCTTAAAGTCAATCGACGGAGAGTATAGTGTGTTTTCCACGGTGGTGGACGAGGCCTTGCTTGAAGAAAATGATCGGTCCCCAGGATGACTGAATGATCTGTAGATGACGTTTACTCCGTAGTATCTCACAGCCCTGGAACTCAATACTTCAGAGTGTTCGGGGCGGGGAGTCTTCTTACCGAGCCTAGATGCAGAATGCCAAGGCGAGCGAAAGGGTATCACAATCCCGATCTCGAAACCCTTCATCTGCACGTCGAGATAAAATCTCTTCGCCGGCGCACCGCTCGCTCCTGGACCCTTGAGGCATTTCTCACCCTACGCCGCGAAGTCCGTAGTAGTCCATCCGGCGTATGCATCGAGATGGATACCGCAGAAAAATCTTGCAAGAAGTGGGATGGGCGATATCCACGTTGCCCATATCCAGATCCAGCCGACCGCGGGCTAAAGATGAAGGGAGAAACGTCCAGAGCCAACGAGTGCGCCGAAACGCGAAAAAAGGTCAGCGTCGCCGAGACAATATGACCTCTTCCGGTATGGCGGTCTTTTTTGCGGCGGGGGCGGCGGAGAGCCTCAACCATGGTTCACCATTTTCTCCTCCTGCCTTAGTTTTCGTTCTGACGGCTAGCCGGGTGGGTGGTGTCCAGTTTTTTCTTTCGTTTCTCTGTCTTATTGATGCCGGGCCTTCCATTGTTCCTGGGAGCTACGGAGTAAGGTACGGAGTAGTATTGACAGAGGGATGAGGCGGTCACCCGAGGACAATACCAGTCAGGGTCTATACATCCAATACCTGTACGTCTTTACTCCTTAGGTAAGGTACTGCCATACCGAGATCATGTACCCGTACCACACCAACCTGAAAGCGGTTAGAGCGAGATAGGAGTGGGTCCCATTGAGCGTAAATAAACGACTCCACATTCAACCCCAAAGCTAAAAAAGAAACCGAAGAAAGAAAAAAACGATTATTCAGCTTTTGCACTCTGCAATTGAAGGTCATTTCTGCGGTGTTTCCGTTTGCTGAATGAATGAGCCTTTTTCTAGTGTACGACAGATACATATATAAAGCAGCCCAGTGGTCAATGCCCGCTTACCCATGGTCACACCGTCACAGAAGGGCAGGGTACCGAGCTTTCCAAGGCGCGTGGAGATGCAACACACTCCGTAAATAAACTGCGCGTTTCTGTGTCCTTTTTTTCACCCTGAGTCTTAGCCAGACCCATGTCGTCATCGATTGACTTCGCGTCCCACGTTTCGGGCGCCCGGCCTGCTCGTTGTGGTAAGTTGACTTGCGATCATCGAACCGAAATGAGCTTCCAAGTTGTTTCTATGATAGGTACTTTGCGGGGCCTCCGGAATACGAGTATGGTGTACTCCATCCTGCTCCCTAGCAATTCTAGTATCACCTAGTCACTACTCCGTCTGCACTATGCAGCGTGGGATAGTGAACTCCTTTTTTTAGTGATTTCTGCGGTCTCCTTTTCCCAGCTGACTAACCTCGTCTCCCCTGAAGGTGGAAATTGGAATCCTTTGCTTCCCTCGCTCTTCTCGCGTCTACAATTTATCCCCATTCGGACATATTGAGAAGGCGCTACTTCCAAGCCACGTTTCTTTCCTCCTTCCCAGTTCCAACACTCGACGGAGGAATCCACCTCCATTCTGGCATTGGCCCGAAGTTTAAGGGGAAAGGACCCCAGGATGACATAACAAGGCCACTTGAGCAGCCAGCCAACCACGACGTGCCTGCGTAAGTGAGTTATGGAAATTACTCGCAGTTCTTATCCGCGATGTCGGGCGTGGAAACCGCCGAAAGGGCCTCGACGCGCGCTGATTCGACGATCGCGTTCGCAGGGCCATCGCGCTTATTGCCCATCTGGCGTGTTCTTTCTCCGGATGATCCTGGTCTAGACGATTGTTTTCGACGGAGTTTCCGTAATCTGGGTCCAGTTTCGTTTTTCCCTGCTGGCTCCCAGTTTACCACTAAACCGGGGTCGAAATCCGGAATTAATCTGTCTTGGTCCGACGATAGTGCCTTGGGCTAATGGCCCTCGGGCTTCCGTGAATTTCCCTGGTCTCAGGTTTGGGTTTTTTCTTTTTTTGTTTTTTGTTTAATTGCCAACTTGACTCCCTACTGGGGTCATCCTTGCAAGTGTGTCTAAAATAGATATATGAAGATAGTCGCAATTGGCACCCGCTGTGGTTCCAGCACATCAGGGGGTTTACGCAGTACGGAGTCAGTTTAACTGTGACGCCTGGGCCATGCCGTCAGCCACCTCCTGAACCGGTTGATTCTGGTCAAGCGTCTATCATGCTCATGCTCATTACTGTCTTCGTGGTTTGGATCATTATGCCGTACTGACTGACTTGTGCTGTTCATGAGCATGAGCATGACTAATGCGCCCAGGAAACGAGCCGACGCGATATCGGATTCATTTGGAATCCTGACCCGAACCTCCTCCGGATGGCCAATCTGAGCCGTCGCTGCTGTTCTCATGTTTCTGCCGTGTTGGCGATCGCATCCAGCCGATACGGTTCTCCATATGATTGCTCACTCACCCGCGCTCTTTTAACCTTCGCGATAACCGTATTGCTTGAACTCTATCCCACGCTCGACCCTTTTTTCAGAGACCTGGATGCCCGATTGTTTCGAGATACGCAGACTTTCCACGTCGCGGTCTGGCGCAGCTGCGAGTACACTTTCTAGAGTCATGTAAATTGCACACCTCGTGGGGTTTCTACCTTTGTTTTCTGGCGTTCGGACTCGCCATTGGACAGGTGTGAGGTGCAAGGGCTGCGACTGCGACCATGCGCAAGCCACTATCCTTTAAAATAGAATAATGGAAGTCCAATGGAGCATGGGCCCCGATGGAGGCTATCTGGAACAGAGCACGCCAGAGCCTATCGTCGCGTAAGAGTCAAGACAGCCGACGCGTGCAAATCTTGGAAGGGTCAACGAGCCATTCGGACTAACCGTACTGATCGAACCATAGCTCGCGACGATTGCAAATCGAGGAATAGTGAATCCAGGGAGCATCTGCCGACCCCCTCGGTAAGACTGCGGCTCAGGATGAAGTCGGCGCAGAGGATTGTGCCTATCAACGCACACCCCGCACTCGCCGAGATCGAATCATCCCGCCCAGCCGCGTCGCCTTCAGCTGAACATGGAAGATAAATCCACCGGAGAATTAATTTCTGGCTCTCTCCCCTCTTTCGCCTGCTCCACTCGGCCTGCCAACTGGAAAGGCTTCTGCCTGCGTCCATCTCGCCATCTTCATTCAGCCTCCACCGTCCAGGTGCATAAGCTCTGTCATTCCGCGAAGAGAAACCGCCCCCCTCGTAAGGTGGAGTCCCCTTCCCTACGGCGTCGAGCCCATTCCCTCAGCATCCTATCAAATCGTCCGCGTCGCGAAACTGCGAATCCCCTAGTTTGAGATGTGCACCTGCAACTGGGCCTGGGGGGACTTGGGTGACCGGGGGGTTGGTCTGACGTGGCAGTCTGTTGTGAATCCGACCTATGAACAACCGTCTATCACTGATACGGCACGTCTAGTCAATGCAACTAGGCTTGCGTCTGCATGTACTCATGTTCCAACATCCCCGATAACTTGATTTTTCTGACTTGCTTTTGCTTTGAAAGAGGAGAAAAAAAATAAATTGCCTTTCTTCCGTGGGCCCTTACTGACCAACAGTTCTGTCATATACGCATACCACCTGCCCTCCGTGCATTCAGATTATGCAACGTACAATTGACCGCGTTGAAGGCATTGGTGGAATGCCTTCCATCTTCGAAGTTGCGGCCTCGGGAATCCATGGCTCGATGCTTGACTGCCTATGCGTGTAACACAATTCGTATACGGCAAGCCTTCTCCGTCGTGCCCTGGTCCCTGTCAGCACTTGTTTGTTGTCATCGTCGTGTTGATTGATTCAGGCTGTGATTTGGAAGTATTACACATAGGGCCGTCCTTCCGTTTGCCACATCTGTCTCAATTGGTGCCTTTGTACTCCGGAGAGAGGCCGGATGATGGGTCTGCTTGGATGGCTCTTGTGTCATTTTGTCAGTTCAATTGACATTTAGGATTTAGATGCACAGCCTATAATGCCTTTCCTAGCATGATTATCAACCAGTAGAGGTGCTGACTGCTGGATAACAGGCTATGTATCTGTATGTGCAGTTGGCGAGTGGAATATGTATGTGATGCCAGCAAATCAAACAATATACACTACAATCTTCACGAATGAGACATTTTGTATCCAACTGATCTGAAGTATAAGCACTGTATCTTCTATTCTTCCATGTCAGTCCGTATCTGCATCGCTACCTCCGGGTGCTAGTATATGTTGCTTGCTCATGGCAATACGGACCCGAATGTGCCCTGGTCCTGGTCGCATCTGCATAGAAGCATGTACAGACTCATTCCTATCTGCTCAACTCATCAATCAAGATAAACTGGAATAATTCATTCATGAAGTTCTGTGAAGACATCACCAGTTGTAGGTATAGACTGAGCCAGTCACGTGCCAGCCATCATTGGTGGAACCTCCGCGGCGCGCTAAAAATTGTATCCAAAAAAAAAAAAAAAAAAAAAAAAAGGTCGAGCAACGTCTAATCCACCACCACCCCAGACCACCCCCCCAAGTTCCTAGACATCAGCGCTCGATCGGAATGATTGTCTAGTGGTCGGCTCTACGCGTCGAGCCGGGGTAGGTTATTTTCAGATCTTGAATTTCCTATCATCTCTAGGGGTCGAATCGTTTCTCCCCTCCCTCCGATCAGTCGATCAGCAGCACGAGCGAAAAAAGCTCTGTCGACGACTCTAGAAATCCTCCCTTTTTACAGCTATCAATCCGTCCACAGTTCCACCGCATCCTCTTCACCATGGATATCCACCGCTGTCGTTTCGTCCCCTATAACCCGCAAGCGATCAATGCGCTCGCCTTCTCGCATCCTCCCTCCGCGGAACTCGCCGGACGAGGTGTCCCGACGCTTCGACTCGCGATCGGTCGCGCAAACGGCGACATCGAGATCTGGAACCCCCTGCGCGGCGCCTGGTTCCAGGAGACGGTTCTGCGCGGCGGAAAGGACCGCAGCATCGAGGGCCTCGTCTGGACGCTCGATCCCCAGGACACCGCTGCCGACGGCTCCAAAACGCCCGGTAAGCTGCGCCTCTTCAGCATCGGCTACTCGACCGCCGTCACCGAGTGGGATGTCGAGCAGGGCAAGCCCCTGCGGCACTCGAGCGGCAACTACGGCGAGATCTGGTGTCTGGCGGCCCAGCCGAGGTGGCAGCCCACGCAGCGCGGGAAGGACGGGAAGTGGCTCCCCCCTGCGGAGGGCGAATTTACGGGCCAGCATCTGGCGGCGGGGTGTGCCGATGGGTCGATTGTGATTATGTCGACGGCGGATGAGGAGCTGAAGTTTTTGAGGCTGATGAGGCCGTCGACGAAGAGGGCTAGGGTGTTGAGTGTGACGTTCCAGAATCGGAATACCATCGTGGCGGGGTATGCGGATAGCTCGATTCGCCTGTTTGATATTCGCAATGGCCAGCAGCTGCGCACGATGTCGCTGGGTAAGGGCCCGACGGGCGGTTCGAAGGAGTTGTTGGTTTGGTCGGTGAAGTGTCTGCCGGATGGCACGATCGTGTCGGGTGACTCGGCGGGTGAGATCCGGTTCTGGGATGGGAAGAACTACTCCCTTATTCAGCGGTTGCAGGGCCATCTGGCGGATACGCTGGATGTTGCTGTGAGCGCTAAGGGTGATACCGTGATCAGTGGAGGCGCGGACCAGAGGACTGTGGTCTACAGGAAGAAAGACGCGGAGAAGAAGGGCGACAAGAAGGCTCGATGGGCTGAGGTCATGCACCGTCGGTACCATACCCACGACGTGAAGACCTTTGCTGTCTACGAGACGAAGGATATCAGTTTTGTTGTGTCGGGAGGTAAGAGCTGGCGACAACTGCAGGTTCTTCGTTTGTTGGATTTTGGCTGATAGCAAATTTAGGACCTGATGCGTCTCCGGTCATTCTACCGCTGCGGGAATTCGGAAAGGAACACCACAGGAAGCTGTCGACCCTACCGCAAGTCCCCCAGCTTGCCTCCTCGCCTTCTTCGCGACTCGTCATGAGCTTCTGGGATCGGGAGGTCAGCATCTGGCGCCTGTCTCGTGGCCCTACGTCCGCGCACGAAACACCGGATGGTCAGAGGCACCGGCTGGTCGGGAAGGTCCTGATTCAGGTAGGGGAGAACCTTTGAAAGTCTGAAATTCCTTGAGCGTATTGCTAATGGGTTCTTTCTCGACCACAGGGCGAAGAGAACATCACCTCCGCTATGCTATCCTCCGACGGAAAGATCTTGGTTGTTGCGACGGCATCTACCGTAAAAGCGTTCTCTGTTCGCCGGCGCAAGGGCGACGAGAAAGGAATCCTACGCATACAGAAACTGGACATCCCATCCGATCTCGCGGACGAGGGAGCCCGTGTCGTTACCGTCTCCCCCGACAGCCGGTGGATCTCGGTCGTCCGCCCGAACAGCGATGTCTACCTGGCCAGAATCATGCCGGCTTCTTCGCCGCAAGAAAAGCCCCAGGTTCTTCCCCAGCTCGTCAAGCTCAACCGGGCGAATCGTCACACCCGCCACGAGAAAGCTTCCCACGGTACTCTCGGCAACTACGAGCGGGCGATCCGATGCGCTGTCTTCTCCGATAACAGCAGAGTCCTCGCGGTTGGAGACCTGTCTGGATGTGTGGACTCCTGGTCATTGGAAAGCGCGGAGGAATCGACGGAGAAATCCGCCCTGAAGCGCAATGCTGCGGCTGACTCGGATGACGACGACTCTGACGATGAAGACGAGCAGCCCATCATTGAGGGCGAGCGCTGGCACCTCACTGCTGCCGAGTCGCCCATTCCTCGTCTCAAGTCCGGAGTCGCCCTGCTATCCTTCCGTCCCTCCAACACAGCTGCAACGAAGCAACTGACCAACGGAGCCGCTAAGCCGAACGAGAGCCTGCTCATGGCGCTCACAAGCGAGCACCAACTGGTTGAGTTTGACGCCCTTGAGGGCAAACTTTCAGACTGGTCACGGAGAAACCCCAAGGCCTACCTCCCCGCAGAGTTCCAAGGCGTCAAGGACCGCGCCATGGGCTGCCTATGGGACATGAACGAGGAGCGGGAACGCCTCTGGCTCTACGGCACCTCCTGGCTCTGGATGTTCGACCTCAACCAGGACTTCCCGTCCTCGGAAGAGCTCGACGCGTCCGCCGACACCCAAGACGACGGCACGACCAACCCGCAGGCCACTCCGTCCAAGTCCTCCGCCGCGCTCAACAAGCGCAAACGCGATCCCTTCGAGGACACCACCGAGAACGGCCGCAAGAAGCCCAACACCGGCGCCGGTGACCGCATCCCCCTCGCCCAGTCCGACGTCTTCGTCGCCCCGAGAATGCGCAAGATCACCGGCCCCGACGACTCCCACAGCGAATGGGTCTCCCTGGACAAGGAACGCCCTCGGGACCCCAACGACGACGAGGACAACGCCGACAACGACGAGTCCTACACCACCGCCCAGGACGCCCAGTTCGCCCGTCTCCGCCGCACCGCGCTCCAGGACCACAACGAGGAGACCGACCCCCACACCCCCCGCAAGAAGCGCCTCTCTATCGGCCTCAAACACATCGTCAACTCCTTCGCCGATACCCCCGCGCCCAAGAAGTCCGCCGACGTCGGCGCCCTGGTCGCCGCCGACCCGGCCAAATCCCAATCCGGCCGCCGCTGGTGGCACACGTACAAGTACCGTGACATCATGGGCATCGTGCCCCTCTCTTCTTTTTCTGCTTCTGCATCCTCCGCCCTCACCGATGACGATGACAAATCCGAAGACGACGACGACGCTGCCGCGGGTATTCTGGAAGTCGCCGTCGTGGAAAGACCAATGTGGGACGTTGAATTGCCCGGCCGATACGTCCGGGATTATGAATGAAAGGCCAGCCCAATGTGCGATGTAAGATAGTTTGCATGCATGCAGCGGCGGCGGCGGCGGCCATGCACCGCATACATACATACATACCTACATATCTAAAATGCAATCTTGCAGACCTGTTTTGTTGTTACTTACGCTTGTTTCTTTTTTTTAGCCGTGGCTCATTCATATCGTTACTATGTGATTGGAATGACTAAATATTGCTAGGCCATGCCATGTCGTGCCGTGTTATATCCACCCTAGGATCACATTTATCTGTGTATCTACATGAAGAGATAGATTTGCATGGATTTCCTCCTTTCTTGTTTTCCTGCCATTGGATGCCTGCCGTTCTACTTTCTTTCCTTTTTCTTTCCCTCTAGGTTTCCTTATTTTTCTATTCGGCGAGCTGGTCTGGGTGTTTCGTTTCGTTTTGTCTCGTTCTTATTTCTAACTTTTCGCCTCTGATTTTTCTTTTCGATTCTTTTTTCTCATTTTTTTTTAAAAAAATTCTTCGTCAGTCATGATCATACCAATCGATTCAATAAAAGTTCTAGCTAGATATTCGGATCCGTCTCTCTCCGGGTTTTCGCTTTCTCTCAAGGAAAAACTAGAATTCAAATGTTAGTGCAATACTCTGTTTGGATGGTTTCACACGCTATTCCGATTCATCTTACCTGTATGTAGGAGGGGTTGTTGGTCAATACTCAGTCTCAACGGCTAGGTCACAATTAATGTGAGAGCCATATGCAAAACCATGGTCATAATCGGGTTGCTGCAGTAGAATATCTAAGGCTTACTGATGACCCAGGACTTGAATCCAACCAGGTAGTAACAATGACTTCGTAGAAGAGCCCGAAGAGAAAAGACATTGCGATTGTTTGACCCCTTCAAAGGGTGTTTATGCCAGACAACAGTGTAAAGGAAAAAGCAACAGCAGAAAAAGAACAATCTGCTCGAATTAGAAAAGAAAATCACGACGCCATGTATTCTGAATTCCCTGAACGAAAGAGAAAAAAAAATCTAATCGATGGCAACAAAAATCTCACCATGTTTCCATGCAAGCATGACAAATAGACAAACAGACACCAGTGAATATCATCAACGGAGAAAAAACAGCCCATATGTGCCTTATACAGACTTGATTTTCTAGAATTAATGTGACTTTCCCTGTTTAAATGGGGCTGCTTTAATAAGGGCACTCAGGGGGTTGCTTACTGAGTATTTTTTATTACCAATCAAAGCTTAGTGAGTACTTACGTTCTACTTAGAGTAGGATTAGTAATTAATTATATACATAATAAGCTACTTATCCCTTAATATTCTATATTATTAGTTTAATAATAATATTAAATTAATTATCTTTATAATACCTACCTTCGCTAAAATACCCGTTACATATAATATATATAGAATTATAATAGGGTATTAGAAGGCTTTTAAATAATAAAATCTACTAAATATAAATTATTATTAATTATAATAGCTCTAATAAAAATATAAAAAAATATCTCTATCCTATTTATAAACTAATTAAATAGCTAATATCTTATTCCTTTTCTTTTTTAATCTTATTTTATTTATATTTAGTACCTGCTTTCTTATTTTTTATATTTTGATTTTTTTACTAATTATAGGCAAAAGATCTTTTTAATATAATAAAAATGCCCGAAAAAAACACTATAAATATTATTTTATTTATAAATATATTTTAAGAGCTTATTAAAAAGAAAATACTATTAAAAATAAAAATAACTGTTTAAATAAAACTAAATATCTATAATACTAATATATTATTATATATATAAAGTAAGTGACCTCTCAGTAAATTAGAAAAGATATTGTCAATTGGGGTCACCTGACATCATCTGATTCATCAGAATCACCTGATTTAGCCCCACAACCAAAATTATTCAAAATTCACTACAACTTTACTTTCACTTTATTGAACTCTCATTTCCACCACCAAATTGTATGGGAAAAGTGAGGTAAAACTGAGCTTAATGTGAGCGGAAAATGAAAAAAGAAAAATTTCTGAAGAGTTTCTTATTTTGGACTAGCATACCTTCCTAATTAGGAAATCACCGGTCGCTAGAATCCTATGGAAGTCAGAAAACATAATTCGATGAATTTCCTATTTAGGAAATTAAAAAGTTTATTTTAACTACTGCAGTTAATGGCTTTGTTCAGATGATCAATACAAAGGGTCCAGAATGTCTCGCCTATTCATTTTATAAGCCATAAAGTGAATATTACTACCCTGGTCATTCTGATATCATTTAAATGATTTCATTATGATTTATGTGTTGAATCTCGATTGTTCTAATTATTCTGATCATGAAATCTTGATCATTTGATCATCTAAATTGATCTAATAATGATCTATGAGGTTGATCTTGAAGGCCTAGATTAATGATATGATTCACAGGTGAAGGCCTAGAAGGATCTGATGATTTCATGTTTGCAATGTCTGCTTAGGGCCAGATTGAATTAGCCCTGATTTAATTGTCTATAAATATGCAGTCAATGACCTGCATTGATTCATTCTTTTTATCAAGTTGATTTTACCGTTTCAATTTGACAAGTTGATTTCATCTATTCAATTTACTTATTGATTTATTCATTCATTCAATCAATTTCACCTATCTACATGCATAGCGAATGGTAGGACCTCTGGTCTATCTATTTCAGATCTAGGTGGTCCAGGTGAACTGTTTACTTCATCTGACTGATCGATTTTCCTTATTCTATCTAGCCATTTGAAATTTCTATTCAACCCACGTGACCTACCTACCCCATCTGACAGATATATATTAACTATATTTATTAAATATCTTATAAAAGAGAATTATAAATTATTTAATTATATTTTTAAAATTAGCGTCCCTGCTTTAAATATTATTTATATTAAAAATTTTATTTATTAGTATATAGACTCTGCTAAAAACTAAAGCAGACTTAATATAAATAAAAAGCTTATAATAAGAAGCACCTATATATTTATTAAAAGATTTATTTATGGGTTTAAAGAAATTATAAAAAGTAAGATTCTAGATAAAGACTAGATTAAAATATATTTTATATATAGAATATCCTCTTATAATAGATTTAACTAACTTTTAAATAATAGATTAAAAAAACCTTATTAGCGGATAAAGTTATTAAAAATATTAAAAAATAAAAATTTAATTTTACCTAAGATAATTTTCGAAATATTATCTTTTTTATATAAATATAAAATAGTCCTATTTTTCTTTATAACCTTCTTAAAATTTTTATTATATTTATACTGCAGGTATTTCTCTTTACTAGAATAAAGATTAAAGCTCTTATATTAGATATAAAATATAAAAAAGAGAGAGGACTCTAATATAAAATAAAAAAATTAGATTATAATATTTTTAACTTGTGCAGGCTTTTACTAATTTTATAATATATTAATCTAATTTTATTCTGCTCTGCAGATATACCCTATAAAATAAAATAATAGATTAATTAAAAGTAATTAAAGAACTATTATAATCTAAATTATATAATATATAAAATTTTAGTTTAGCTTTTTAAGATTACATACAATTATTAATTAGTTATTAAGTTTAGAATTAAGAATTAAGATTATAATTAACTATAGTTTATAATTAGTATCTTTCTTCTTATAATTATTCTACACGATAGAGCTCTATTTAGTATTAAATTAATATAAGACTTGGCTTAATATAATCTTTATAATAAATAATACTCAGAGATTTTACTTTACTAAAAAAATAATATTTTAAATTAATTTATTTTTAGAAATATTACTATATAGGGCCCTTAAAAATAGTATTTAATAAATAATAATTTTATATTTTTTTTTGTTAGATCCTTATTATAGCCAGATATTTAAAATATATTATAATATATAATATTTATTAGTTACTTAATAAAAAGATTAAATATAAGTTATATCTCTAGCTTATTTTTTAAAAAAATATTACTAAATTTATATAATAAGATATAGTTTTACACCTGTCTCTTAAATCTATAACTATAAAAATAAAAAAATATATTTAATATATTATTAAGCTCATTATTTATCAATTAATACTATTAATAATATTTTAAATAAGAAAGAAAAGACTTATTATATTAATTACTTTTAAAAATATAGGTAATTCCAGGAGATTAAACTACCGCATAAATTATTTATTAAAATAAAGAAAACTATCCTGTAATATCTAAAGCTAATTATTATATAAACTCGGATTAAATAATTAGGCACGAAAGTAAACTTTAATATTATTAATTTTAAAAAAAATAAATATAAAAAAATTTTAATTAATATTTAATTCTTAGAGCTTTATTATTACTAGGCTTAATAAGTTCGGGAAAGATATGATTAACAGATCTTAAGCTATAAAAAGAATTTTTATAAATTATTAAAAAATAATATATATACTCACGCTTTAATCTAAATTATATCTGAAATAAAATATATAACAGAGTTTTTATTTTCTACTAAACCATTTAATCATAAAAAAAGCTTTTATTCAGGAATTAATTACTTATATAATATTACTATAATTATAATATAGTTTTGTTACGACCACCTGCGCAGTGCGGATGACATCAGCCGCAATACAGCGCCCAATACAGATAGGACACTATAATAGGGCACATACTGTCACGTGACCCTCCCGCAGTGCGGAACCTAGCACCGCGTAGTATAATAAAGCTCGCTTAAGTAAGGCCCTCCTGGGTTATATAACTCTACTAAGGGTTAAAACCCTACTATATTATTAATATAAGAAACTAGTAATTAATTCTATTTATAGACACCCCCTATAATATAATTCTGTATTACATATTTATCATATTATTTATAACCTTTATAAACCCCGGTCTAATAATTCTAATTACTTAAATTAAGTAAATAACTTAATTAAATCATATATAACAAACTCTAAAATATCTTAAAATATAAACCCTTCTTTAAATCCTCTAAATCTTTTTTTAAACTCTTTAAATCCGTAAGATATAGC